AATCACCTCTGGTTGAGAACCACTGCCCTATATCAATTAAAGAAGTTGAACTAATAATTAAGAATCTTCCCTACCTTCTCACCCTGTACCCTGCAAAAAAGGTAAGAAAGGAAACACCTAACTCCAGACCCAGATGGCTTTACTGTTGAATTCTCTCAATCATTTAAGGAAGAAATAATACCAATCCTATACAAACTCTTTCAGAAAACAAAAGTGAAGGGACACTCATTTTATAAGGCCAACATTACTCTGATATCGAAGACATTTCAAAAAGAGAAAGAATATTGCAGGCCAACATCCTTCATGACACAAGAATCCAACAATATGCAAAAAGATGTCATGAATTTATGTTTTTTTTTTTTTTACAGGAATGTAAACTTGGTTCATCATTTGAAAATCAGCCAATATGACTGATCATATTAACAGAACATGGAAGAAAAGCCATGTGATCAACTCAATAAGTGCAGAAAATGCATGTGAAGAAGATCAACAACTATTCATGATTTTTAAAAATCTCAGCACCTTATGCTAATAACACCAAGGCCACGGGTTTGGATCCCATATAGGGATGGCCGGTTAGCTCACTAGGTGAGCGTGGTGCTGACAACACCAAGTCAAGGGTTAAGATCCCCTTACCGGTCATCTTTTAAAAAAAAAAAAAAAAAAAAATCTCAGCACCTTATAACATCATGGTCATGGGTTTGGATCCCTGTACTGGCCAGCTGCAAAAAAATAAATTAAATTAAAATAAATAAATTTTAAAAAATCTCAGCAAACTACGAATAGAAAGGAACTTCTTCAACCTAGTAAAGGACATCTACAAAGACACACACACACACCCCCCACACACACCCCCACACCCCCCCCCACAGATAACATCATATATAATGGTGAAACACTGAATGCTTTCCCCCTAAAAATGGGAACAAGGTGAGGATGTCTACTACCGCCACTTGTATTCAATGGTGTACTGGAAGTCCCAGGCAGTGGAATCAAAGCAAAGGAAAAAAAAAAAAAGGCATATAGATGGGAAAGAAGTAAAAGTATCTTTATTTACAAAAGACATGACCATATGCATAGAATATCTGAAGAGGTTTCCAAAAAAAGTTAACAAAAGTGATAACTGAATTTATTAGCAAGGTCTCAGGATACAAGATCAATAGAAAAAAATCAATTATATTTTAATATACTAGCACTTTCTTAAAAAAGGAACAAAGTGAGCCTGGCACTTCAAGGAAAATTATTGATGGTATTTGTGGCCACTGATAAAATTCAAGCTTTCAAGCAAAAATTAGGATTTTGAAAAACTTGTATCTACCATTGTCAGCTTAAAAACTTTCTAACATTTAAAGACTTTTGTGAAGAGATCACTAGTGATATTAACAAAGGTGATTTTTTTGATATTGTATAATGAATGTGAAACATTTGGAACAGCTGCATAACTCAGTGAACCAATAATTTCCCAAATAACCACTGCATGATGTTACAAACTTATGCATGGCAAAAGATTCACCCAATCCCCGTACTGACCAGCTACCAAAAAAAAAAAAAAAAAAAAAATTCACTAAAAGTACAGGATTGACCAATGGATTTTAACGTAATAAGAGTATGAAAAGTTCTTGACATGGTTTCAGATTTCACACCGCCACTAATCTTTAAGTAAACCACCACTTGTATTTTGTGTAGTATCAAAGAAACATATTCATAGTTATCTATGAAGGCTATTAAAATGTTACTCCCTTTTCCAACTACTTATCGAAGGCTGGATTTTCTTCATATACTTCAACTAGAACAACATATTGCAACAGATCGAGGAAGAAACTATGAGAATCCAGCTGTTTCCTATTAAAGCCACACTTTTTTTTTGATGGCTACCTGGTATGGGAATCCGAATCTGAACCCTTGAACTTGGTGTTACCAGGTGTCGCTCTAACAAACAAGCTAACTGGCCAGCCTGTAAACCACACTGTAAATCACTCTTGTTAATTTGCAAGAGATTTGTAAAACAATGCCACACTCTAAATTTCTTTTCAGAAATGTAATTATTTTTCTTAAAGATATTTATGCTAATATATAATGGGTTTGTCATTTTTTTTCCTGGCAGCTGGCCCGTAGGGGGATTTGATGTTGTTATTTCAAATAAATAAATAAATAAATAAATAAATAAATAAATAAGTATATATATATATATTTTTTGTCCTTTTTGAGACCAGCCGCACCGCACTCAGCCAGTGAGCGCTGTGAGCGCACCGGTCATCCCTATATAGGATCCGAACCCGTGGCGGGAGCGCCGCCGCGCTCCCAGCGCCGCACCCTCCCGAGTGCGGCACGGGCTCGGCCCAATAAATATATATTTTTAATTTCTCACTTTTAATTCCTAATCCAGTGATATTAATAGAGATTAATAGATAAACAAATAGATGAATAAAAGCTTTTTGGGCTTCTCAATAATTTTTAAGAGAGTTAAGGGGTCCTGACACTAAAAAGTTTAAGAACAGTCCAGGGTTTGACCTCTGTACCAGCCAGCTACAAAAAAAAAAAAAGCTTGACAACAACTGATCTAGTCCAACTCTCCTTCCTTTGTTCCCCCATTTTATAGATAGGTAAACAGGCTGGGCTGGAAGGGCCAGGTTGTGGCTGTGGGTCCTGACACTCCATATTTGGTATAAGCCTTTTTTTTTTTTTAAAAGATGACTGGTAAGGGGATCTCAACTCTTGGCTTGGTGTTGTCAGCACCATGCTCAGCCAGTGAGCTAACTGGCCATCCCTATATAGGATCCGAACCCGTGGCCTTGGTGTTATCAGCACCACACTCTCCCGAGTGAGCCACGGGCTGGCCCTGGTATAAGCCTTTGAGAACAGGTGTGTCTGGGATACCTCCTCTCTAGTGTATTCAGTCGCTCTTCAGTGGGTCCTCATTAAATGTCTATGAGCTTAAAAAAAACCACCTTTCTCTATACACATACCTCCCTCCACCTTACAACTGCTAGGTCCCTGTAGAAAATTCTTGAAAAAACTTACATCTTTACTTCTCATATTTCACTCATTCAATATTTGCTAAGGTTGGCCAGTTAGCTAAGTTGCTTAGAGCACAGTCATACAACATCACGTTCCCGGGGGATCTGAACCTGGTATTGGCCAGCCAACAAAAACAAATAAATATTTGCTGACAGCTAACTATGTACCATATATAGTTCTGGGTGTTGATAATTCAACAATGAGTTAAACAAAATCCTTGCTCTTTTAAATCTTACATTTCAGTGAGGGAGACATGTCCAGAAAAACTGTCCAGAACTTGTAAATGGGTAGATTATTACTGGGTGTTCGTTCATTGCAGTGATGGGGTACACCCTTGATTGACTTTACATTGACTAGGCTATCTTACACCTTTGAAGAGGTGGAGGTTAACTTGTAGAAAACTGATGGCAATACAAATAATTCTTGTATAATGAAAATGCATTATATATTTTGCAATGCAAAGTAATAATAATAATAATAAAAGCAACACAAATGATTCCTATCCATAGTAATGTAAATAAATTTTTTTTTTTTTTAAAAGATGACCGGTAAGGGGATCTTAACCCTCGACTTGGTGTTGTCAGCACCACGCTCAGCCAGTGAGCGAACTGGCCATCCCTATATGGGATCCGAACCTGGGGCCTTGGTGTTATCAGCACCGCACTCTCCCGAATGAGCCACAGGCCGGCCCAATGTAAATGAATTTTGTCCAGTAGAGATGTAATTGATTTCCATCTGGTAGAAGAGATACTCCCAAACATTACAGTTTATGATGATGAATAAAATCTTCAGCATGTGTTCATTTTATATTTGCATGAGTTATAGTTTTAACCTTTTGAAAGTTATAATTTAGCAGACTATAAGATAATATATATCATATGGTAATAAGCTATAAGAATAAAAGCAGGGTAAGAGGACAGCTATTAACTGGTGGTAAAGTATTTTATTTATTTATTTATTTATTGTTCTGCGCCAGCTGAAACGGATCCCACCAGGCGTAAGCGCCTGGCTCCTCCCTTCCCTCATACTTTTGGTTTGCCCAGAGGCTGCATTTCCCCAATCTGAAGATTTTCTCTTTCCTGGAAAATAAAGTCTCCCTTTTTCTCTTTAGTAGATACTGTGGTCCTTTTGATAACTTGTCTAATCAAGTTTCTATTAATCATTTTCCATCCACTGACACCCTCACTCTGCCACTGGCTACAAATTCCCACACCGTCCTTGCTGTATTCAGAGTGGAGCTCTGTTCTATACTGAAGTCTCTGAACCGGTCTGTATGTGGGATCCGAACCCTCGGCGGGAGCACCACCGCGCTTCCCAAGCTGCGCACTATAGCAGTGCGCCACCGGGCCTGCCCGGTGGTAAAGTATTTTAGATAGGGCCAATCAGTCCTGTAATTCTATCTCTTAATTAGAAGTGGAACCTATCCTCTTCTCTCCATCCTCACTGCTATCACACAAATCCAGACCGTCATCTTCTCTCATTTAATCTCCCTGCTTTATTCTTACCTACTCAGGTCATCAATTGTTAGGTATCATCTAAAAAAAAAACAACACTTATCTGTCATATCCCTCCTCTTCACTGGATTCCTATTGGTGGAGTCAAGTGTTGTGGGGCCTAAAGCTTGCACAATTTGGGAGGCTCTCTTTACGAAAAATAATACAAAACCAGATACCAGGCCTTGAAAGGGGCTGTGTAAATAACAGGTCCTGAAATTTAAGCTTCATTGTCTTCATGGCAAATCCGCCCCTGCTTACAAGTCTGGTCTCATTTCTTCTAACTCAGGATCTTTCCCCGTGCAATTTCTGCCTAGTAGGCCGTTCCCGTCCACTTTTGCCTAGCTAACTCTTTCAGAACTCAACCACAAGCTCCCAATCCTCCTTAACCCCCCAATTGGGTTAGGGGCCTCTTCGGAGTCCCTCGCACTGCTTCAAGCTTCTAGGTTCAATTACCGTTCCGGGGGTCTGATTACTCTGTCCAGCACGCTGCAGAGACCCCTGGCGGGGCGGGGTCAGAGGGGCGGAGCCCTGGAAGAGAATCAGACGTAACTCCTTCCCTGTTTCCCGCTCTCGTCCTCAGGCGTGGCTTGCGCCGCCTCCCGGAACCCGCGGGTCTCCTGCTGCGGTTCCGGGCGGAATTAGCTGGCGGCGCACGCTGACATGGCTCCGCTGATGCTGAGAGGGGTTCGGAAGCTGCTGCAGCGTGTGGACTTCGCGACTGTCCCGCGAAGATATCGATATAAGAAGAAATGGGTAAGGTGCGGCTGGGGGCGCACGAGGAAACAGTGACGGCGGCCACTGACTGCCGCCCCTCGGGAGACTTCTCCAGCCCTTCCATTTCGCGCTCCCCTCAGTTGCGTTCACTGCTCCCACCCCTCTAGAACGCTTCAGGCTCTTTTAGCGCCGCTCTTAGAGCGTCATTAGGCTCTTCCTGCTTATGTCTGTTACGTCACTGCCTCTGCCCGCCCTTTTGTTTCGTCATAAGTCTTCGTCTCTTTCTCTTGTTACGTCCAACCTCCTGACTCCGCCCCTCTTAGTCACGTCATCCCCTCCACCGTCACTTTCAGTTATGTCACCACCGACTCTTGTTCCCCGGCTCGCTCTTACCTTTCGCTTGGCCCTCACGACCTTCCACTTCCCTCCCTCTCCCCCTCCCTCCCCGTTTTTCCTTTCGCTCCCCTCCCCCCTCCCCCCATGGCCTCTTCTCCTCCTTTCCTCCTTGAACTTCCAGCCCGGTCGACCTCACCCCTCGGAAAATGTCAGAGCGACATCCCCTTCCCTCCTGGGTCTCCGCAGCCCTGCGGGAAAGGATTCCGCCCCTTCCTCACCCTCGAGCTGCCTCTGGCGCCCAGGAAAGGTTACAGCGACCACCCTGCCCATACTGCCTGCGTTTCCCCAAACGCAGGCAAAGGATGCACGGACTCCTCTTACCCTCAGGGCTCTCCCCACCTCTCCAGAGACCCATTCTCTGGCCTCACCGGTAGCTCTGGAATTTCTTCCATAACCGGCAATCCCCCCTGCCTACCCCAACAGATTTCCTCCCAGCCCCCACCGCCCCCCTCCCCACCCCCACAGCCTCCCTTGGGCCCGGGAAGATGTTCTTTTGAACCCTCTTCTTCCCCAGTCCTCGGAAGGCCCAACTGCCACGGGCCCAGCCTCTTGGATTCACCCCCTCAGGGCACTTATTTTAACCAGTTCAGCCTTCTGGGGTCACCCCCTCTCCATCAGCGGAGCTCTTATTGCAGCTGGATCAGGCCCCCGAGAACACCGCGTCCCTGTCCTCGAAGCCCTTACTTTGACCAGCACACTTACCTCTGTTACTGTAGTAGATACCCTTCAGCCCTGGGAACCAGCCCGGTAACCTCCCCTCCCCTCACTCATCAGTCCCCAGGAATTAGCCCAGTGACCTCCCCTCCTCTCACTCATGTACCCTTGGAAACTGGCCCCATGATTTCACCTCCTCTTGCTCACAGGACCCTGAGAACTTGCTTCACTGTTTCACCTCCCCTTGATCACCGGCCAGTGGAAACTAAACCTATAGTCTCCCCAGCCCTTGCTCACAGAATTTTGGAAACTGGGCTGGTGAGCCCCCCTCTGCTCTCTCACTGGTCCTCAGGGAGAAGTTATAATGACTCTCTTCCTTCCCCAGCATCTTCCCCACCTACTGGCAGATTTTACAATGGCCATCTTAAGCCTCCAGACTCTTGTGAACCCAAACCACAGCTTGACTTGACCCTGGGGAAAGATTGTTGTGACTCCCCTCTTTCTTCTCAGGCAGGCGTGTCTGACTCTCCTACCACACCTCAGGAGGGCTCTTATCATTACTCCCTTCTTTCCTCAGAAACCTATGTACCTGCCCCTAGGAGCCCTTACTGTGCCATCCGCCTACCCCCTGAGAGTCCTGGTTCTCCTTGCTCACCCCAGTCCCAAGCTCCCAGGAAGGCTTGCTTTGAGTCCCTTCTCTCATGGGAGACTGGTGGGAACTCTTACCTCGTCCTGACTCCGGGGACCATGCTTTCTGGTCCCCCCTGTCCACAGAAGCCACCTCTTCCCCACTGTCCTTATTCTCCCCTCTCCTTCCCTTCACCCCTTGGCAGCCAGTTTATATCTCCATCCCATTCACCTCCCCACAGAAGCTACAATGAGCCCCCTCTCCCCACCCCACTTTCCCCTCAAGTAAAGTTTTCCAGATCCTCAGAATTCAATCAGTCACATACTCCCCACAGGTGTCACTCTCTAGTCAACGCTCCCCAGCATAACTCTCCTGGCCAGCCCAAGCCCTCTAAGGTCAGCACCTCTCCTCCCCCTCCTTCCTGCCACTCTGGCCCCTCAGGTCCTTCTTGTGTGGAGCCATCCATCACAACTCCTTCAAATTCCTGCCCCAAAGAACTTTCCCCAGGGACTGTCTTACCCATTGTGGTCCCTAGAACCCTCAAAACTGTTATCCCCACTTCCCTTCCCCTCTGCCTTCCTTGTGATGCTGTCTCACCCAATAGTTATGCTCAGAAAAACACCCATGGATCCCCCAGAGGATCCCCCTGCCATACCCATGTATACTCTGTGGTTCCCCGCCTTCCCTGTCCACTCTCTTGTCCTCTCAATTGCTTCACAGGCCCCCCTCAGTGTCATAACCAACCCTTGGTGCCCCCCTGTAGCACCTATAGCACTCCCAGGGGACCACCCAAACCCCATTGCCAGCCTGTGGCGCCTCCTTGTTCTACCCACATCTATTCTTTTATCCCTTTGAGAACACCCTTTGATCCCCGAAGTTTACCCATTGCTCCCCGAGCCCGGGCCTGCCCTGATACTATCTCTTGTGGCCTCCATATCTACCCTGTGGCCTCTCAAGCCTCCCCACAAAAGTCCCCCCAGATCCCCTACAGCTGCCCTTTGCCTTCATCTGAGAGTTCCAGCTGTAACACTAATCTCAGCTGCAGTTCGACTGTTATTAGAGAATGCAAGAGTTGTGACAGCCAGACCGAGAGTAGCCAGCAAAGCAAAAGTCAGAGCCAAAGCAAGAGTCCCCATCAAAGCAGAAGTCAGAGTCGGAGCAGGAGTCCTCATCTGAGCAGAAGTCGGAGCCAGAGCAAGTGTCTTCATCATAGCAGAAGTCGGAACCGAAGCGAGAGTCCTTGCCAGAACAGAAATCAGGACCAGAGGGATAGTTTCCAACTTTGCATAAATCAAGGCCAGACTGAGAGTCCCCACACTAGCAGAAGTCGGGGCAAGAGTCCCCACCAAGGCAGAACTCGGAACCAGAGCAAGAGTTTGCACTATGGCAAAAGGAAGGGCCAGAGCAAGAGTCCCCAGCATGGTAGGAGCAGGAGCAAGAGTCCCCACTATGGCAAAAGTCATGGTCAGCACAAGAGTCCCCACCATGACAAGCAAAATTTCTGACCACATCAAATCCAGGCCAGAACAAATGTTGTAGACAGTGACAACTGCCAGCCATAGCAAGCATCCCAGCTGCGGCAACCAGGACCAACTTGTGGACTCCTCATCTGTAGTCTTTATTTCCCTTCTAATCTACCATTGATCAAACCTGCCTCATGTCCTTCAGTGCTACCCCCACAGCAGTCATCCTAGCAGTCCCTATTTTGGTTCACACCTCAAGATTCTGTGAGTTCTCCTCATCCCACCTTCCTGGGGTCTGGGAACTCTCTCAAAACATCCCTCAACCCTTTGATTCTCAGCATCATGGTACCAGTCACTGCATGATCTTAGATAAGTTACCTTCATCTTTCCGTGAAATGTGGAAGGTTGGTAATTTTTTTGTCCTAATGAGCTGTCTGTTGTAGTGCTTGTACAAATCTTTCCATAAACTTTTTAAAGACCACCTCATATAAGCTAGTAGACATGAAAGTGCTTTGGAAAACAAAAGGACTGTTCAGAAGAAAAGCGTCTTTTGTTTAAGCCTGAAGCTTCCCCAAGACCTCCATAGTTTCATCCAGTCTTCTGCAGGTTCTCCTCACGAGTCCTCTCCTGAGCTACTGAATGTTAGCTTTTACTTCAAAGTCCCCCTTCTTAATGACCGACCCCCACATGGTATTGTGAGAGCCACAGCTTCCTTTCTGTCACAACCCTGAGATGGGAAAGCCAGATCCCCACTATTTCTCTCTCCCACACTTCTCCTCTGGTAGGCAGAGGCAGGATGCAAAGGCAGGAGTGGGCACTAGCTGGATCCAGGTTTGCCCCTGGGCTTTAAGGTATTGGTGGGGTCACGTAGTAGGGGATAGAGGCAAAACTGGGAAGAACAATAAGCCTGTTCTTTCTCTTGTAGGCTGCCACAGAGCCCCAATTCCCTGCCATTCGACTGGCTCTGCAGAATTTTGATATGACCTACAGCGTGCAGTTTGGGGATCTTTGGCCATCGATCCGTGTCAGTCTCCTCTCAGAGCAGAAATATGGTGCTCTGGTCAATAACTTTGCTGCTTTGGATCATGTGATTGCTAAGCTGGAGCAACTGAGTGCCAGGGACTTTGTGAATGAAGGCATCTCCCACTGGGAACTGGAGCCTGATAGTGGCCAATCTGCAGCCCCATCCCCAGCCTCCTGGGCCTGCAGTCCGAACCTTCGATGCTTTACTTTTGCCAGAGGGGATGTCAGCCGCTTCCCTCCTGCCAGGTAGGATCTAGAGCCATGGCTGGGACTGTCCTGAATGCCTGCTGGAAGTAGACATGAGGAGACCCAGCTCCTGCTCTCTATGATAAGGATCATAATATTGCTAATGTTTATGGTGTGCTTACACAGGCTGGGCAGTTTTCCAAGTGCTGCACACATGTTATCTCCTTTTGTTCTGTCAACAGCCATATGAATTAGGTGGTATTACTGCTGCTGTTTTACATTTGAGGAAACTGAGGTACAGAAAAGTTAAAGTGCTAACTTGCTTTAGGTCCCTCAATAAGTGATGCAGCTAGTATTTAGACCCAGGTGGTCTGACCACAGAGCCTGCATTTGAACCTTCTCTAGTCTACTGCTTTCTGTAGAAAACATCCATTTCTCACATGAGCACCCACTATGCCCTCTCCAGTTAAAATATGTGTTATTCACAGCTGTTTTCTCATTTTGCCTTTCACACCCACCCATCAAAGTGAGTAGGACAAATAATCTCATGGTACCAAAGAAGAAGTGGGTCTTTCCTAGGAAATGGGGCTTGCTTAGGGGCACAAAGTTGGTACTAGACTGGGAAAAAGAAAGATTTCCAGTCTCATGATCCAATGCTTGTGAATATGGAGTTGAGAAAAAAAAGACTCCAGAATCAAATGCCGAGTTGTGCTTTAGGAATTGAGAGCTCAGTGTTATTTGTAGGATGTGGAAGTTGGTCTTTGATGGGTTGGTTGATTGATTAATTCAACAAATATTTATTGTCTAACAAATGCCAGGTATTTAAGTGCCTGGGTTACTTGGTGCACAGGCCCCCACGAGCTTCCAGTCTGTGAGGAAGACAACTATTAAGAAACTATTTATAAGTGTGGTAAGTGCTACAAAGGAAAAATAAAAGATGCTATGAGGTCTTATAATTAAGAAATCTAACCCAGTCTTTTCTGAGGAATTGTTATTTAAGCTAAGACCTGAAAACTGAGTAAGAATTAAAGCTGGTGGCATGAGGGTGTGGATCAGGGTGAGAGGCCAAATATGAGGCTATAGAAGCAGGCAGGAGTAAGATTATGAAGGTCTTATAGGCCTTGTGGAATTTTGGACTTTTTCTCTGACAAGAAGAGGAAGCCATGAAAGATTTTAAGCTGGGGAATGGCAAGACCAGATTTGAATTTTTAAGATATAACTCTGGCTGCTGCATGGAAAACAGATTGGAGACAGTCAAGGCTGGAAAAGGGGATGTAAATTAGGAGGCTTTTGCTTTATGCTCCTCTGTATGCTTAAGAGGAGTAAGAGATGAGGCTGGAAAAGTATATGGAAGGGCCATGTGTGGGAACCTTGAATGCCAGGGGCTTGCAGGTTGGGGGAAGGGGATTTTTCTGGTTGGCCAGGGTTGTTTGCAGATGACTGAGGTTGCCAGGACTGGATAGCTTCAGGCCATATGTGCTTTAGTACATATTGCTGTGAATTGCTAATATCTGCTCTAGAGAACCACCAAAAAGGGTTTCTGAGCAGGTGAAAGGCAGTAATGCACAGTGGTTATAAGCATGGTCTTTGGATTCAGGCAAACCTAGATTTGGATCCTGCCTTCTACATATGGCATTGGATAATTGAGCTTTGGTTTCCTTATCTGGAAATAATAGTAGTAATAGCTAACACTATATCTCATTATGTGTCAGCTGCCGTTCTAAGAACTTGATATATTAATTCCTTCAGTCCTCACAATAACCTTGTCTTGTAGGTATGCTTATTGCAGATGAAGAAACTGAGACACAGAGAAGTTGACTAGTTTGCTGAAAGTCACACAGCTAATGAGCAATTGGGCTGGGTTTGAGATCCAGGCAGTTTGGTTCACCTGCCTCATAGGGTTGTGGTGAGGATTAAATGAAATTATGTATATTAAACACTTAGCATAGTGTCTGCAATATAGCATTCATCAGTAGTAACTCTCACTATTGATGGTATTCTCATCAAAGTTATGCTCAGGAAGATCATTTTAATCACTGTGTAAGGGTGTATAGATTGGGCCAGGGTTGGAGACCAATTCAGAGGCATTGGCTTTAGGCAGAACCATGTGGTCTCCTAAGTTGCTTCAGGTGCTTGGCATCTACTCAGGTAGGACACCCTGAGAGTAGAGAGGGAAGCAGCCACAGCAGATTTCTGGAGGTTGTTTGTCCTTTCACCAAAACCCCTATATGTTTGGGTTTTTTCCGTTTTTATCACGATAAGCTCCCTGTAAAATCAAGGGGATCTTAGTGTCTCAGGAGTTCAACGATATATTTGGGAGTCCAAGAACCCCCTACAATTGTCTGTAAAATTGTGTGTGCTTTTTCAGAAAGAAGGACTGTAGCTTTTAGCAGATTCTCAAAACTGTGAACCAAAAAAAGGTTAATGAGTGATGCTTCTAAAATGAAGGAACTTGAGGATGGGTTTTATGGACCAGTGCTGGTGGGATAGCAGTTCTGTGTCTTTCTCAGATTTCTCAATCTCTTTGTCATTCTCCTTTGTGAGGCATGAGACATGCAGTTTCACAGACAATCCAATTGTGGTTTGACTGAAAAGATCCTATCACAGAGTAAGCCTATTTGTGAATGCTGGAGGTGTTAACAACCTCAGGACTGGGGATTGTAGCTCTTATTGCTGACCCTTAGTGGTGCTGTGTCTTATGTCTTGCTCCCAGATCCTTCCTGTCAGAGTTTCTGTCTTCTTGAGTCTGTCCCCAAGATTCTCCATACTGAACTGCATCTTAGGCAGAGAATGGCTGCTCACCACCAATTGCCCTTATGACAGCTGGCCTGAGAGTCAGGAGTCCTGTGTCAGTTAGGCTGCTGTTGATCATCCCTCCCTCTCTACCCACACTGATGCTTCCTCTCTGGTGTCTCTGTCTCTAATTTGTTCCTTCTAGCCCACTTAGCTTTCTAAAACTGAGATCTGTCTGATCATGCCATTTTCCTTAAAAACCTTTGGTAACTGCTTACAGGTTATACTCCAAACTCCTTAGCATTGGGTTTAAAGACATTTTACAGACAGCTTCTGTGCTCCAGGCACTCACGACCCAATCGCATGGACTTGTAGTGTGTGGCCAGTGGTAGCTGCTGGATGAACAAATGTGAGAGATGATAGAAGAAATGGATGAGTTGTTTTCCAGACAGCCTGGAGTTGCAAACTTGCCATGAGACACATACTATCCAGACCCAGACAAAACCAAGGAGGATGTTAATAAAGCTATGCTGATTCCACCCCAAAGCAAGACACTAAGATAACATCAAGGATGGGAAACAGAAACCAGAGGTAGCTTTGTCGAGACCTTGCACCCAGCTCCTTGCATGGAGCCCCTACCCTCCTCCCTCCTGCTTTTCACTTCTCACATTCCATTCCCTCAGCTCCCTCTTTAAAAACCCCTCCTTTGGGCCAGCCCATGGCTCACTCAGGAGAGTGTGGTGCTGATAATACCAAGGCCATGGGTTCAGATCCCATATAGGGATGGCCGGTTAGCTCACTTGGGAGAACATGGTGCTGACAACAAGTCAAGGGTTAAGATCCCCTTACCGGTCATCTTTAAAAAAATAAATAAATAAAAAATAAAATAAAACCCCCTCCATAAATCTAAGTCTTTGAGATGGTTTTGGTCTGGCCTTTCTCCTCCAGATTTACCAGAGTGATGGGTTAGCCTGACATCTCTCCTCAGGTCACTGGTATTCTTGAATAAAAGCTGACTTCCATTTTCACCACCACCACCACCAACAAAAAACTAACTAACAAAAAAAGACGTTTTACAATCTGGCCTCAATCTGCTTTCCAACCTCAGTCTCATGCATCTTGTGTTTCTACCACACTAGATTTCTCACTGTTTCTGAATGAAGCTATGAGTTTGTATGCTTCTGTGTCTTTGCTCATTCTTTTTTCTTCTGTTTGAAATGCTCTTCTTCCTTTTTTACCTAATGAAGGCCTCCTATTCCTTTATCAGGCCCGAGTTAGGTAACTCAGACAAGCACAATTGATCACATTTCTCTCTAAATCCATGAAGTGTTTTATATCTCAGTATGTAACCCAGTAAATCCAAGTTCCTACCATGTGCCAGGCACTGTTTCAGAGGCTGGAGATATTACAGTGAACAAATCAATCAGACTTCCAGCCTCCATGGAGGTAACATTCTAATAGGGGAAGATAGAGAGGGAAAAAATGCGCGCGCACGCACGCACACGCACACACACACACCCCTATACATATAAAATGAATAAGTATTTTAAAGAAAAATAATGTAGGGTAGAGAGACAGAAGGTGATGGGAATAGGGCCTGTTATTTTAGAGTAGTCAGGGAATGCCAGTGTCTGATGAGATAATTTTTGAGGAGAGACCCAAATAAAGTGAGGAAACAAATCTAGGGTTATTTGAGAGTAGGGTTGCAGGCAGAATGTACACAACTGCAAAAGCCTGAGACAGGACCATGCATGGCTTAATTAAGGAATAGTAAGGTGGTTATCATGGCTAGACTGGAGTAAATTGATCTATGTTTTAAAAGGATTGTTCTGGCTACCATGTAGGTGAATGAGTAAATGATTGAGAGAGTGAGTGAGTGTGGGTCTGAGAAATGAATTTTTGCTGAGTGGAGTTTAGTGGTCCCTGAGGGCTTGGACTTGGAGACTTGACTCCCTGTGGGTGTCTTGGCCTGTAATTTGACTGTTGGGTGGTCTCCTCTCTTCCAGACCTGGCAGCCTGGGTGTCATGGATTACTACCTGATGGATGCCGCCTCCTTGCTGCCTGTCCTGGCCCTTGGCCTGCAGCCCGGGGACACCGTGCTTGACCTGTGTGCAGCCCCTGGGGGAAAGACACTAGCATTGCTTCAGACTGGCTGTTGCCGTAAGTCAGGGTGCTGATGTCTTGGGCAGAGAGGGCTCCCCATCTCACCAAGTCAGGGGCACACTGAATACAGTAGGCTCTCTGGTCCCAAGGTCAGAGGGGAGGATAGTGCTTGCTTGCTTGCTAAGCTCGTGTGTTTTTTCTGTTTGCCATTATTTCCTCCCTTTCTCTGTCAGTCAGTCAAGGAAGATTGCTGGTCAGGGTCTCTGAAGGCAAATTTAGGCAAGGCTCTGATCAATCAATCACTATCATCTTTCTGCATGTGTTTACTTTGTCTCTAAGATTAAGTCCCATTTTATTAGCCTGCCAGCTAAAATAATAAGATCTGGCTGTAGCCACCATTTATAGCTTTGTATGTCACTCTTCCCCAGGCTTTATGTGCTTCATTCACACCCTACTACTCTCTTGCCCAAATAAGCCTTTGCTCAGTTAAATTTTCACTCTAGAATTCCCACATTCACCTTAGCTGGGCTGTCTAAATACTTTAGCTCTCAAGCCTCAGTTAAAGTGTGCCACCTTCTGGAAGTCTTCCCTCATGACCTCTGCTGGCCAGTTTGGGAATGATGCCTCTCTTCCCTATCTCCCCAAACATGGGCATCACCCTTTTGACTGTTAGCACATTAGCCTTGCCTCAGAGCTTTACTGGATAGCTATGTTCTCCTTCTTTGAGATTATGAATTCCTTGGGGACAGGCCCAAGTCTTATTTTTCTTACTAGTATAGCCCAGCCTGGGCCTTGTGCACTATAAGTGCTCACTTTGGCTATCTACTGGCTGACATCCTGCCTTAAAATAGTATTTTTCCTTGGCACCCTAAGAAGTAGGTGTAGATTTTCACACCCAACCTGGAGCTCAGCTGGATTTCTCTTGTATGTACCCCAGCCTTTCTTTTGGGCCTGGACCCTTCTTTTCCAGTTCTTGTCAGCCAGCTTGTACATTTTGAGTTAGTCTTCAGCCTCATTGGTTAGGCTCATGGGTGATTCAGAGAGGTATCACATTTGGTCTCAGCCATCTGGAAGTCCAGAGGGAGAGGAGAAAAGATATTGACATGGACTTAATAAGTCCAATGCAAGAAAGCCCAGCCTATGAGCTGATCTAGCTGATCTGACTGGGTGCTGTGGGAATCCATCAGAAGGGAGATGAATGAGGATAGGCTTACTTGGAAGAGGAGAAACTTGAAGTAAGAGGAGGGAGAAGGGCAAAGGAAAAGTAATTGAGAGTTGCTCTTCTAAGGTGTGCTGAGTTACCAGCACCTCACCTTCATTCCACTTCCTCACCCAAGTGACTGGCTCCTTGATCCCAGGAAGATAAGATCATAGAATTTTAGTGCTAGAATAGAACTTAGATTAGAGTTTACCTAGTCCATCCCTCATTTTATGGAGAGGAGAAATGAGCACTGGAGAGATTAAATAGCTTAAATCTTACAGGAGTTGGAGGTAAAGCTAGAACTGGAACCCATGTTTCCTTTTCTCAGTTCATATTCTCCTGCAGATTTCTCTAGAGCAGAGAATCCTTTTTTTTCTCTTTTTTTTTTTTTTTTTTGTCTTTTTTCGTGACCGGTAACGGAATCGCAACCCTCAGTGTCGCACCCGTACCGCGACTGGCAACGGGATTGCAACCCTCGGTGTCGTGCCCGCACCGTGCTCAACCAGTGAGCGGACCGGTCTCTATATGGGATCCGAACCCTCGTCAGGAGTGCCACCACGCTCCCAAGCGCCACACTCTACTGAGTGCGCCACCGGGCCGGCCCTTTTTTTTTTTTTTTTAAAGATGACTGGTAAGGGGATCCTAACCCTTGACCTGGTGTTGTCAGCACCATGCTCTCCAAGTGAGCAAACTGGCCATCCCTCTATAGGGATCTGAACCTGTGCCCTTGGTGTTACCAACACCACTCTCCCAAGTGAGCCATGGGCCGGCCCCCCAAACAACAATCTTAATGTTAAAAAAAAAAAATTAGTCATTAAAAGATCTGTTGTGATAGTTGGTTGATATTTTTCTTTAATTTCAGACATTAACTCTGAAATGTATATCTTTCTTTTTTTTACCTTACCATTATTTCTTAATCTAGTGGATTGGTTTTTCAACATTGTTCCTGCCGGTATGCCTACAAAATCATCTGTAAGTGTCCAAATGAATTCATGTTGTTGGTCATAATTTTGATCATGCCTCTATTTCTTTCTTAAAAGAAAAGAAAAAAAAAAAGAAAGAGGTGTTATTTTGACGATTAGGCTTAACATATTATGTTGTAGATTCTTCTTCGATGAACTATTTTAAATGTTTCAATTAGGTGCCACCTAAATTTATTTTATTATACCATCAATAGCTGATTAAGAAGAACCAAATATTTCTAGTTAAAAAAAAAAAAAAAAATCTTGAAAGTTCCACACAATGTGTCTGCCTACAACTCATTGACCAAAACTTAGTCATATAGTGATACTTGTATAGTTGTAAAAGAAGGCTGGGAAATGTAGTCTTTTGGGGTACACTGCCCCTTTCCAATGAAAGTGGGGTTCTATTACTAAGGAAGAAGAGGAGAATAAATTTTGAATAAATAACCTGTAGAATCTACCAAAGATGAAGACAGCTAGATATTTCAAGAATAATAGGAGAGAGCATATTTCTTTAAATAGTCTTACCTGGGGGCCGGCCTGTGGCTCACTCGGTAGAGTGCGGTGCTGATAACACCAAGGCCACGGGTTCAGATCCTATATAGGGATGGCTGGTTTGCTCACTGGCTGAGCGTGGTGCTGACAACACCAAGCCAAGGGTTGAGATCCCCTTACCGGTCATCTTTATAAAAAAAAAAAAATAATAAATAAATAAATAGTCTTACCTGGTCTGCTTTATTTATTTACTCAGCCTTTCTGACCCATCTACGTGTTTGCCTCTGCAACCCCCACTTCAAAGTGACTGATACTTTGCCATGCACCTAATAAATGTCCCTGTTGCTAGGGTCTGCGTAAATTGGCTATGCCTGAAAATTGGTCTGACTCTCCATCAGCACCATTGCTGGTAGGATGTTTTGCTAGGCCACAGCCTCTGAAGTATCTTTATTTCCACAGGCAATCTTGCTGCCAATGATATCTCTACTTCCCGAACAGGCAGACTACAGAAAGTCCTTCACAGCTATGTGCCTCAAGATATCAGGGATGGGAATCGAGTTCGAGTTACCTCATGGGATGGCAGGCATTGGGGAGAACTAGAGGGGGACACATATGACCGGGTGAGTAATTCCTGACTTAGGACATCCATCCAGCTACATCTGACCTCCTCATCCTGGCCCCAGGCCCTGAAGGGGTAGGATCCAGCCCCCATGTTTGAGCGTGTAGGGCTGTTTCTGGACCTGGCTAGCTTTCCATGGGTGATATGGAGAAAAAAGCCACCTGCAGAATTGTCATTTCAGGGCCGGCACGGTGGCGCACTGCTACAGTGCGCTGCTTGGGAGTGTGGCGGCGCTCCCGCCGAGGGTTCGGATCCCACATACAGACCGGTTCCCGCTCACTGGCTGAGCGGGGTGCGGGTGCGACACTGAGGGTTGCGATCCCGTTGCCGGTCCCAGTCTGGTACGGGCGCGACACTGAGGGTTGCGATCCGTTGCCGGACACGAAAAAAGACAAAAAGAAAAAAAAAAAAAAAGAATTGTCATTTCAGCTTAGATGACTGACTACTATATTCATTAGAGACAATTGGCAACAAAAAAAAGTTTGAACCTGAGTGGGGAGAAAAGATATTAGGCTTATTTTATTTCTCAGGTCACTTGGTTGCTCAGAAACCCTCATGAAGATAAGTATGAATAAGCTTATTTTATTTTTGAATATTAATACAACACATGGTACAAAATTCAGAAGGCATAAAGGGGTATCCAGGGAAAAGTAAGTTTCTCTGTTATTTCTGTGCTGCAGCCATCTTCTTCCCCTCCCTACAGATAACCATCGTTTCTATTTTTTTCTGTATTCTTTAAAATATAGTATTTGTATATATAAATATAAATGTGTGTATGTATTTTTTTTTTAAAGTAGGAATGTTAGTGTACTATTCTGAACTTTGTACTTTTTTCATTTAATAATATATCCTGGGGTTTAATCCTTTTTAGTTTTGTTTATGAACTATAGTTGTTGGATAACAGTTTATGTCCATTTAAGATTTTGATAGAGATTGTTAAATTGCTCTGTGGAGGTTAAACCAGTTTCACTTCTACTGGTAATGAGTGAGTACCATTTTCCCACATCTTGCCAACACTGGCGCTATCAAACTTTGGTTTTTGCCAAGCTGATAGTATCTAATTTATATCCTCATTATGAATGATATTGAAAGTATTTTCATATTTTTAAGTTATTTATTTTCTTTTAATTGGCATACTCTAAAAATATTTATTTAAAACATATACTTCTAAAAATATAAAAAATATATAGCTATTGTCTGTGTATTATCATCTGACTTACCTAATCTGTCTAGTTCTCACCATCCTGCCTCAACCACTCTAAGGAACTGAAAGAAAGACCAAGGCTTATGGAATCTTGGATTCCATCATCTTGGAAGAGACTTGCTTCCTGACTGTGTAGGAATCCCCTATTTGGCTTTCTTGACATGGAGGCCACAGAACAAATGGAGAGAGCATGACCTCTGCTATCAGCCTAACCAGTTTCTGTATTACAGGGCTGCCATTTGCTCAGCAACTTAATCTCACTGAACTTCAACCTCTTCATTTAAGAAATAGGGTAATCCTGTCATGCAGGATTATTGTGAGGGTTCAATGAGAATATCCAGGGAAAGTGCTTAGTACAGTACCTGGCTGTGAGGAATAGGCAAGTATAGCCATCATCATTATTCGGCCTATGTCACACACTTTCGTTCACAGGGGCTCACTGTGGTTCTGTTATTGAACACCTCTGATGTTGGAAAGTTCTTTCCCTTATGGAATTAAAATCTGTATGTTACATGTTATGCAGGTGAGTGCAAGAATTCTGGAGTTGGACTGCTTGGATTAGAGTTCTGGCTCCATCACTTACCAGCCAGAGAAGTTTGGGCAAGTTACCTAACCTTCAGTTAAGCTTCAGCTTCTTCATTTGAGGATGAAGTATCAAATGAGGATAATAGTAGTGCTTATCTCATAGGTGAAGATTAAAAAGGAATGCATTTAGCACAGTGCCTGGAATATAGAAAGCATTCGATATTGTCATCACGATAATCCTTATCATTTTTATTATTGTTACTTCCAGTCATTGATCCTAGCTATGCCTTGTGGAACAATATAGAATGAGCTACCTCCCATTTCACTTGACAGTGCTTCAGACATTTCAAAACAGCTTTGATATCTTGAAGATGTCTTTGTTATTTTGTTGAAGAAATAGTTGTGTATAATCTACTATGTGGTGGACAAGTGCTAAGCATTTTAGATGCAAAGAAGCACACTACCCCAGGGTTCCCCACACTCTTGGTAACGTCATCCTCCCTCCAGCTCCAGTTGTCCATCAGCTGGAGAGAAAACAGGATCCCAGAGCTCTGCATGTTCATGGCAAGACACCTACCCTTCCTCCCAACTCACAGCTTGCTTGCTTGCTTTTTTTTGTTTTTTGGAGAGGTAAAGTTTGTTTCAAATAACAAAATGTTTATTTGAACACATTTCTGTCTTCCCAGACAATAAAAGAAATCATATTTGTAAGACACATGTCCAGAGCTGAGATTCAGTTGGAGCACCATCCTGTCAGAATGGTTATTTATGGCTGATATCCATGCATATTGGGCAGGGCCAGTGCCTGATGTGAAGATGCCTGTACCATATATGGTGTTGAATAGTTTGACTGCCGTCCTTAAAGGTTTCCTAAGTGTAGTGCAAGAGTACAACTTCCCTTTCTTCCTCCTGTGACTGAGCAAGGTCAACATTTTTCACAGTTGACACTACTGAAACATATCAAGAATATATTAGAACCAGGATATTCAAATATATTGCCATTGATTTATAGTCCCCTTGAAATCTCAGTTCTGCTGTTTCCATACACCAGGGCTCAGGAATCCAACAAGCCTGGGTATGCCTTGCAGCCATTTTCCTAAGAGTTCCAGCCACCTTGTCAGGACACTGAGAAGGAGGAGGGAAAGAACCTGTAGACATTTTTTCCTTTTTGGGTGGTGGATGCTCCCACAGCTTTATTTTTATTTGCATTACAGTTATACCTTTGCTCATCCCTTCATATTTAGCCTTGTTGAATCACTTCCTTTTAGTGAACATGTCTCTTACATACTGCATAGACTTGGGTTTTGCTTTGTGAGCCAATCCGTAAATTTTATTCCTTTAATTGCTGACTTAAACAATTGATGCCACATATTTTGTCTTGGCTCTGTAAAATTATTTTACTGTGTGGGTTTTATTTACTGTGCTTCTTTCACTATGTGGCCTCTAGTCTCTGCTGTTTTGTTTTTCTTTTAATTTTTTTTTTTGTTTTGGTTATTTAGGAAGGTTTTTTTTTTTTGTCCTTTTTGAGACCAGCCGCACTGCACTCAGCCAGTGAGCACACCGGCCATCCCTATATAGGATCCGAACCTGCGGCGGGAGCATCGCTGTGCTCCCAGCGCTGCACTCTCCCGAGCGCGCCACGGGCTCGGCCCCCAATTTTTTTTTTTTTTAAAGATGATCGGTAAGGGGATCTTAACCCTTGACTTGGTGTTGTTAGCACCATGCTCTCTGAAGTGAGCTAACCGGCCATCCCTATATAGGGATCTGAACCTGTGGCCTTGATGTTATCAGCACTGCACTCTCCTAAGTGTGCCACAGGCCGGCCCTTCAAATATTTTTTCTGCCACATTTTTTCTCTCATAATTCTGGAACTCTAATTACATGTATGTTAGGCTTTTTCACCGTATCCCATGTATATTTTATACTCTTTTCTGTATTTCCATCCTTTTTTCCTTCATGATTCAATCTGGGTAATATATTTTGACCTGATTCACCAGTCCTTTCTTCAGCTGTGTCTAATATACTGTTAAATGCATCTGTTGAGCCCTTAATTTCAGTTATTATATTTTCCAGTTTTAGGATTTCTGATTTAGGTCCTCATTAAAGTCCACAGCATAGAGTTTAAGAGGAAATGATGAAATGGTGCTCCCTGAAACATCTCTTCTTTAAATTTAATTAGACAAATTATACTCAAACTAGTAGATGCCCTGGGAAGGCAATCAACATTAGGGCTAATAAAAAGCTTGAATAGTATAAAAGGGCTGGAGGAGGTATTGTAGAACCTTTCTAGCACTTATGAGAGGTAAATTAACACCAATTGCTAAACATAGAAACTGGATAAATTTCAATATTCATTTAGAAATTAATTTTATGATGCTGTCCTAAGTATTAAAATACAGGTTATACTTAAATCATTCAAAGTTTGGCATGTTCACACATGTGCACAAAGTATTTGATAGATATTTACACACTGGGAGACACAATTATGGTCTGACTTTGGAGTTTTGGCAGATCTGGGTTCAAATTCTGGCAAGTTTCCCTACTAGCTTTTTTTGGGTGCGTGTGATCCGAACCCTCGGGCGGGAGCGCCGGCGCGCTTCCCAAGCGGCGCACTATCCAGTGCGCCACCGGGCCGGCCCCTGATTCTTTTTTAAAAAATTTTACAGTTCTTTAGAAACTGGAAATTATAAAATTTTCTGTCTTTTCATCTAACTTCTTGAACATTACTCATGACTGTTTCACACACTATGTCTGATAATTCCAGTATCTGGATCTCATATGAGTGTACTTCTACTATCTATTTTTTCTCTTGGTTTTTGGTCATTTGGTTTTGTCTCATGGTAAGTTAGTAATTTTTAAAATTTGAGTGCAAGATGTTGTGTATGAGAAATTATAGAGATAATCTGAGGCTCTAGTTTGTGTTGCCTTCCTCTAGAAAGGATTTGATTTTGCTTCAGGCAGACAGTTAACATCAAGGCAGATCATCTTAGTTCAGTCAAAAATTAGGCTGATTCAAAGCTGGACTGTGTGTGGGCTGTTCTATTTCCAGTTTACCTCTACACCTAGGGTATTAAGTTTCAGGGGTCTAACTCAACGCATGAGGCATTTGTTTACTAAGACCCTCATGTTCCTTGGTATGGACTCTGAACTCCCGTTTTTGTTTCCTCAGCCACATAAGACTGCTTGAAGTTCTGTTCAACTTTTCAGCCTCTCAGCTGTCACAGTATTGCTGATTACCTCTGGCTCACCTCCATGTTTCTCTGGGATGTTAGCCCCTCAAGTTCTTCCTTATTTAGTAGATCTCTGATGATTTCATACAGATACTTTAAATATTTTGTCAAGCATTTCTAGTTCTCAGAAGGAAGGTTGGTTTACAATAAGCTATTCTGCTTTTACTAAAAGTATAAAAATCTGATTTTATTGTCAGCTTATGATCATTACCTAGTTAATTATAAGAGCCCTGGTTTGAGGGGTGATTTGCATTTCTTCAGAAGAGAACCTGCATTTGCTTTTGCCAGGTGCTTGGAGGATCCGTCAACCCAGGACCATTAATTACTCAATATGGGGCTCTCTAGATCATGCAGGCATGATTTTTTAAAATTTATTTTTTAATTGACAAATTAAAATTGTATATATTTATTGTGTATAACATGTTCTGTTGACTTATGTATACATTGTGGAATGGCTAAATTGAGCTAATTAACATATACATTACCTCACATATATATCATATTTTGTGCAGGTGTGATTTGGAAACCCCTGTATGCGTGGATCAAAATTCTCAAGGAGACTTGTCTTCCTTTTTGCCCAGAGTTAAAGCCAAAACAGATACGTTCTTTTGTCATCCTTGTTTGTGGGCTGAATATTTTTCCTAGTTCACTCTTTGACTGTGTAGTTCTTTGAGGATTTGGTTTTACTATGGATTTTCACTCCATTTCCCCACCTCAAGTGGGCCCAGTGCCCTGTTTTCTGTCCTAGGCATTTGATTACTAGGGATTGATAAAAGATGGAAGCCATTGGCTTCAGCTCCTGTTTGCCTCCCTGGATTTGTGTTCCTGTCTTTTTTTGGCTTATGAGGATTTCTCTAATTTGTTATGAGCTCTACATTTAAGAGTATTTTAAAAATATATTTTATTGAGCCATTTTAGGTATTTTGTATTACAGTGGTTTTCAGGATATCTAGTTTACCACATTGCTGGAAACAGAAGGTATTAGTTTCTTCTATGATGTGGTTTCTAGAACATCCCATTGGCCCTTCTTTAGTTAATGTCTCTTTTTCCTGTGAAGGCCAGTCCCATCATGTTCTCAAGATAAGACCTGACTAGAATGCAAGGTGATCATTATTTTTCTTACTTTGTATGCACTGTGTCAACTCATGTAATCTAGGAATACATCAGAATATTGAATATGGGTCATTATTAATACTTGGAGTTTCCGCTTAACTAAAAATTTACAGATCTTTTCCATAGATGATTTTACTTTTTTGAAACATAAATATAGGATCATTTTGAATTTCATCTGTTTGTCTCTGGTGCCTAGCAGATAGTAGGATCTTAGTAAATGAATGAATGACTTTACATCTCTCACTTTACATTTCCTTATTGGGTCTGACATTGTTTCAACTTAATATAATTTTGAATCCTGATCTTCTTATTCAGTATCTTAGCTACTCTCTGGGCATTGTATATCTGTAAATTGGATATTTTTATTCAGATAGCTAAAGCACTAAGACTTCTTTCTAGGTTGATAACAGTTATTTAATTATAGGTACTTGTGTGTTGGTTTTGGCTTTTTGACCAACCATGAATATTCCTAAGTGTACTACTTTCCAACTCGTTATTTCACAGTTGTCTATGAGGTTAAAATGAGAAGTTTTGTCAGGTACTCTGCAATGCAGGGATGAGCAGAGGGAGCACTCCATAAAACCTCCTGGCCAGGGGCCTAAAACAGCTCTGGCCTAATACTTTAACACTCTGGGCAGGTGCTGGTGGATGTGCCCTGTACCACAGACCGCCACTCCCTTCATGAGGAGGAGAACAATATCTTTCAACGGTCAAGGAAGAAGGAGCGACAGATGTTGCCTATGCTGCAGGTGCAACTTCTCACGTGAGTGATAGATTTATAAAACTTAGGACTTTGTGCCACAGTGCTATAGGAGTCTGGTCTGAGGGACTGAAAGCTCTTTCAAAGACCCTTACCCATGGATGGATCCTGTGGCTGGGGATCTGCCTGGAGGAGACAGACATCATGGGATAGTCCTTCTCCGGAACATAAAAACCCTACCTGGTAAGACATACATACCAGGATGAGCTGCACAGGTTAACTTATGCTATTTTACCCCCAGTTCGAGTGAATAGCACATGTTTTAAAAGTAGCTACTGAGGTCAAGGTGTTGTAGGGAGGGTGTGAAGACTCAATCCATAGCCAGCATCAGGATTTGGTCCATAACCAGAGTCAGAGCACAGGGGATCATTTTAAGAAGGCTTCCTAGAGGAAAGCCCATGGAGTAAGGTTGGGTTGCTCTCTTCTTTGAGAATGACTTTTCAAGCAGTGTCATTGTGGAAGAGACTTCAAAGATGGTCTAACCCAGCTACTCATCCCGTAGTAGAGTCCCCTATCCATGTTTCCAGCTCCTTATGTTGCTCTTCTACTGCTGGGTATCTCACTAGTCACTGCTTTTCTCTTTTTGGTTTCAGAGCTGGAGTCCTTGCCACCAAACCAGGAGGCTACATCGTCTATTCCACCTGCTCACTCTCACACTTACAGAACGAGTATGTGGTGCAAGGCGCCATCGAGCTACTGGCCAATCAGTACAGCATCGAGGTTCAGGTGGAAGACCTGACTCACTTCCAAAAGCTTTTCATGGACACATTCTGTTTCTTCCCATCCTGCCAGGTTGGGGAGCTAGTAATGCCAAACCTCATGGCCAATTTTGGGCCTATGTACTTCTGCAAAATGCGTAGACTGACATAGCATCACCCCATCCCTGAAGTAGGAAGACAAAAGGTGTTCTCTTTTGGAGGCACTAGAAACTGGAAACTGAAACCAGTGGCAGAGATGCCCTCTGAGTCCTGTCCTCATCCTGTTTGAGTCTTTCTGCAGACAGTTTTCAGCAGTAGGAAGTAGGAGTTTTTCTGTCCTGCTCTCCAATTGTGGAGCATCAGCAGGTTTCTAATTCACTTATTACTCCCATCTCTAAGCCTATGCTAAAGCTTCCTGCCCCTTCGGAGCTTAGAAGAAGGAGCCAGTGAGCAGGCACACTTTAAAACTGTAAACATGGAAAGAAGCATTTAGCCAATAAAATTGTTGAAGCTCCAAAGAGCTGGGGATGTTGTTGGGGGCTTCATGTCAATCCAAGTACCATTAGTTCCATTTATACCAGCTGCTGCTGCCGAGCACTAGTTCTGAGGTGCCCAAAGCCCAGGATCTCAGCATGGTTACAGGTCTCTGGTTACAGAGCCCCTCTCACACTTGAGGTAAGTTCCACCTGATGAGCTTTGAGCAGCCAACAGCCCCAAACAAGCCAACCTAGTTTTTCCATATGGCCAATGATCTAATTTAAGGAACAAGTAAATAATAGTGTTAAGCCAGTGCATAATAATCTACTTACGAACTCACACTGAGAAAGCTCTCCTGAGCTGAATAATTCTGGCCCTTCCTTCTGCTGTCAACAGCACTACTGCCCATATGTGGCTAGGAAAGCTGCTTCTGCCACAAGGCTGTCATACGCTTGTATGTTTCTTCCTTCGTTCGTGCATATTGAGCTCCTGTATGACGGATAGGTAGGGAGCTATTGGAGATGTAGCAGTTGGGATTGTGGGAGATAATCAGAGCTCCTCATCCTTCGGAATGGCAACTCCTCCTTTTGCTTTCTGAGCACTTAGGAAAATCCTGATGTTTTGTTTTGTTATATTCTGGGTTTTTCGTTCTTGTTTCTAGTCTGTGCCGAGCTCTGGTGCCTGTTCTTTGGCCCACTCCCAAGTCCCTCAGAGCTCTTCCTTCAGCATAAAAGGGCTTTACCTCACACCGTGTGTATTCAGGGGCAACATTATATCATTTACTGACTGCATGCTAGTTATGTTGTTTTTGTAACTTTAGCCAAAAGAAGGTAACCATTGGCAGGGATATTAAAAATTACTTATGGTTACTTGCAGATAATTTTTTATTAAAAAATTATTTTTCCCTGAAAAACCAGCCCTTGTGCAAAAAAAGGTGCATAACTTTAGAATACTTGATGGTTTCTTGGCTCTTCCCACTTTCCTTATCCCACCTCTTCCTCCTTTTCTTCCTCTTCCTGCCACTCCTTTTGTCCTTTATGCCTTACCTGCTGATCCTTATTTGGGCATTTGAGGTGTCAATTGAGAAAGGCTTTAGCTGAGGTTAAGCCTTCCTGTTTTTTAGGATTTGCATTGTAACTGAGGGCTCTGGAAAGTCTTTCAGACACAAAATGAAGTGAAGCTAAGAAGATGGAGCTCCAGAGCATATGGTCCCCACCTGCTGTTTACTATGTACTTTGTATTTGCTGAGGCTGAGAGACCTCAGGTGTCTGGTCTGTCCTTAGTCTCTTAGCTATTGAGCCTGGTGCTAATTGAATACTAAGCAGTGATAGTTCCGGAGGAGAGAGACTCTTGCCTCTGGGATGTAATTGGGGACAGATAGATCCAGGTAAGAAAAGCAGAGAAATACTTTGGAAAACAGTTTGATTATCTCCTGTAATTGAACATTCACCTACCCTACAATCCAGTTTCTCCAATGCTAGAGATAGATCCTAGAGAAATTCATATATATACACCAGGAAATGTGTACAAGAATGTTCATAGCAGCCCTGTTCACAAAAGCAAAAGCCTGAAAGTAGCTCAAATGCCCACAAGAGCAAGAGAGTGGATGAATAAAATGGAATATTTGCACAGTGGAATATTATACAATTGTCAAAACAAATGAACTATAGTGATACATAACAATATAGATGTATCTTAGCAATAAAATATTAAGTGAATAAGTTTAATCCTAAAAGAGTAAATCTAGCATGATGCTCTTTTTGAAAGAACAGTTTTTTCTTTTTTAATATTTTTTACGTACAATATAATTTATCTATTTTATTTATTTTATTTTATTTTAAAAAGATGACCTGTAAGGGGATCTTAAGTCTTGACTTGGTGTTGTCAGCACCATGCTCTCCAAGTGAGCTAAACTGCCATCCCTATATAGGGATCTGAACCCGTAGTCTTGGTGTTCTCAGCACCACGCTCTACCCAGTGAGCCACGGGTGGTCCTATAATTTATCAATTTTAAACGTACTGTTTAAAGAATTTTAATAATTATATAAAATAGCATAGCCACCATCACCATCAAGATGTAGAATGTAATTCCATCTCCTAAAAAGTTTCCTTATGCTCCTTTGCACTCAATTTCCTCCCCATCCCTGATCCCAGGTAACCCCTGATCTGCTTTCTGTCACTAGTTCTGTCAATTCTAGAATTTTATATCATGGAAGATAGAGTTGATTTATACCTTGATTGCAAAAGCTCTATCTTTATCTCTGGGGACACCTGGATTTCTAGTTTTTCCCTTTTGGCCAAGATAAGGTGACATTTATGATGTGCGGTTTAAAGTCTGAAGCTCCTCTTGTGACCGTCAGGGTTGCTTTCTCTGCTAAGGGTTTGCAACTGTTCTAACTGCTTATGTGTGTCTGGCTTGATTACATGGCCAGAGTATAAAAACCCTGCTGGAAAGTTCTGATTTGAGTTCTCTGAAAGCAAGGATTCCTCACACAGATCATGGCGATTCAATCCAAAGACACTTTGCAGTACAGTCCATGTGTGAATAAGGACCATGAAGAACTGGCACATGGGCTGTCTCTCAGATTCTTGATGCTTACCTGCTCAGTCTTTCTCTTGCTGCCCTGTGTCCCTTTGCCTTTAAAGATCTTAGGTGATTATGCTTTGTGAAGTCTGGTGAATCCTTCCAAATATCTGGCCTTGGGAAATTTTTGCACATATAAATGGAATTATACAGTATATAGTCTTTTGTGTTTGGCTTCTTTGACTTGGTATAGTGTTTTTGAGATTCATTTTGTTGTATTAATTTTTTTTTTCCTTTTTATTGGTGAATTGTATTCCATGGTAAAGATATACCACAATTTGTTTATCCATTCACCAGTTAGTTGGTGGACATTGGAGTTGTTTCTAGTTTTTGGCTGTTACCAATACTGCTGCTAAGAACATTTGTGTACATGGTTTTGTGTGTACATGTTTTCTTTTTTGGGGGTGGCTGGTCGGTATGGGGGTCCAAACCCTTTACCTTGGCATTATCAGCACTGCACTCTAACCAAGTGAGCTAATTGGCTAGCCCTACATGTTTTCTTTTCTCTCTTTTTTTTTTTTTTCTAAAAGATGACCGGTAAGGGGATCTCAACCCTTGACTTGGTGTTGTCAGCACCATGCTCAGCCAGTGAGCAAACCGGCCATCCCTATATGGGATCCGAACCCGCGGCCTTGGTGTTATCAGGACCGCACTCTACCGAGTGAGCCACGGGCCGGCCCCTTCTTTTCTCTTGAGTAAATACTTAGGGGTAGAATTGCTGTGTCATATGGTAAATGTATGTTTAACTTTTTAAGGTACTGCCACATTGTTTTCCAATGTGGAAAACAATTTTGCGTTCCCATCTACCATTTTGCATTCCCATCAGCAGTGTATGAGAGTTCCAGTTGCTCCGCATCCTTGTTAACACTTGGTATTGTAAATCAAACTTTATTCTAGTGGGTGTGTCTTGATATCTTATTGTGGTTTTAATTTACATTTCTGCTGCTATATATAGAAAAACCTAAAGACTGTCAAAAATTCTTACAGTTGGTAATAACTTCAATAACGTTGCAGGATACAAAATAAATGTCCCCAAATCAGTTGCATTTATATACTCAAATAATGAACTAACAGAGAAAGTAAGCCTATTTGCAGTTGTCATGAAAAAAATAAAATACCTAGGGATCAATTTAACCAAGGAGGTGAAAGATCTCTACAATGAGAACTACAAACCACTTCTAAAAGAAATTACAGAAGCCACAAAAAGATGGGAAGATATTCCATGCTCTTGGATTGGAAGAATTAACATTGTGAAAATGTCTATACTACCCAAAGAGATCTACAGATTCAATGCAATCCCCATCAAAATACCAACATTCTTCACAGAAATGGAAAAACAATGTTAACTTTCATATGGAACAACAAAAGACCCCCAATAGGCAAAGCAATCCTGAGGGGTGGGAGGGGGGAAAGCAGAGGCATTACACTACCTGACTTCAAATTATACTACAAAGCTATTGTAACCAACACAGCATGCTACTGGCATAAAAATAGACACTCAGACCAGTAGAGCAGAATTGAGAATCCAGAAATCACCCCTCAGGCTTACAGCCATCTGATATTGGACAAAGGCAACAAAAATCTACATTGGGGAAAAGACTGCTTCTTCAACAATTGCTGGGAAAACTGGATATCCATGTGCAAAAGAATGAAATGATATGTACCTCTTACCATATACTAAAATCAACTCAAAATGGACTAAAGACTTTGGTATAAGACCTGAAACTGTAAAATTACTAAGGGAAAATATAGATGAAACACTTCAGGAACTAGGTCTGGGCAAGACTTTATGAACAAGCCCGAAAGCACAAGCAGCAAAAGAAGAAATAAATAAATGGGACTATATCAAACTAAAAAGCTGTGAAATGACAACCTGCAGAGTGGGAGAAAATTTTTGCTACGTATGCATCAGACAGGGGCTTAATATCCATAATATACAAAGAACTCATTTACTGTGTAATTACACAGTTAAAAAAAAAAAAAAAAAAAAAAACCCAATTAAAAAATGGGCAAAGGAGCTGAATAGACATTTTTCAAAGGAAGACATACAGATGGCCAACAGGTGCATGAAAAAATGCTCAACATCACTAGTCATAAGGGAAATGCAAATTAAAACTAAATCAAGATACCACCTTACCCCAGTTAGACTGGCTATAATGAAAAAGACAGTGAACAACAAATGCTGGCGAGGGTGTGGAGAGAAGGGAACACTCCTGCACTGTTGGTGGGACTGTAAATTAGTACAACCACTATGGAAAACAGTGTGGAAGTTTCTCAAACAACTACAGATAGATCTTCCATGCTATCCAGCAATCCCACTTCTGGGTATATACCCAGAGGAATGGAAATCATCATGTTGAAGGGATACCTGCACTCCCATGTTCATTGCAGCTCTACAATAGCCAAGACATGGAACCAACCTAAATGTCCATCGACGGATGATTCAATAAGGAAACTGTG